TTAATTTAGGCACTTGAGGTGTTGGAAATGATTGCCAGTGTCTCAGCAGAATCTCGTGACCTTGTCCTGAGTCATGGAGTGTTAATGCCCTTATTGGAACAATTTAATGATAAAACAAAACCAACCATCGTAGAAAAGGCAACGAAGACATTGTCAAAGCTTTGTCAGAGAAAGCCTCGGTTCGAGCAGGTTTGTCTTCTAATTGGTTTTCTGTTCGGTTTTGATGCATATCAATAATGCTGGACCTTTATATATTTAACCAATTCCTTCTGGATATTACTGAGCAGGTTAAATCTGCCATCCTACCTCTTGCTCATCTTATCCATATAGACGATGTAGCAGTCCTTTGGTATGCATGCGAGGCACTATTCCATCTAACTTGTGGGGAAATGGATATGAAACAAGCTGTGATTGAAGCTGGTGTTTTCCCTCGTTTGTTTGAGCTTTTACCCAGATTCAGGCACCAACATTTGATATAGTTCCTTTTTTTTTTTAGTTTTTACTTTGCTTTTATTTATTGAACTTTGCTTATTTAGTTTAGTGGTTTGCAGATTTAGTATACCAATGCACATCGTTGGTAATATTATTTCATACGTAGATGATACCCAGATTCAGGTATCATCCGACTCTTGTCCTTAACCTTAATTAGTAAACTTCGTTTTGAGCACATTAATTTGTTAAGTGATATGTTCACATTTCAAATGTGTACTATATTTCACAACCAACTCTTGTTTGATTGTTTCATATAAATGATGTATATGGTAGGCCATTTTGTCTTTTAATCATAATCATATATTACTCTTTTTGCTCTTGTGAAAGTTAGACACGTGCATTACACATTTTAGTACTGCAGTTTATTTTTTCAAAGGTTTGAATGGTTGAGTTAAAAATATTAGGGATCTATTTTCAATTTTTGCGAAAAAGTTAGGGACCCGCTGCAATTTTCTTTAAAAGATTGATAGGTGATAAGTAGTTTTAAGAACTCATAACAAAACAGCCCTTATAACTAAAACATGATTAACAGTCATTGTGTATTATATTTACCTTAGATGCCCTTGTCTTTTAGCAGTTCCGATGATCATTCGTTTTGCAAATACAGTCTTGTTGCTTCTATTGCTAAATAATCATTAGAAGAATGGCTTCAGTCCTCAGTTTTGGTACAATGCTTATAATACATTTGAAGTGCATACCTTCTCTGGGAATCCAAAAACTGTACAAAATTCAAAAGTTACTATCTGAAACTCATTAGTTGAATTTGTAAATGAGAAATTAACCCTTAAAACATTTGACTAATTTTTAAGAGCTCTAATAAGAAGTTCAATGCTAACCTTTTTTACAAACTTGTGATTTCCAGGTTATCATTGATAATGGGTATCTTCCTCGCCTGTGTGTATTTTTGACACTAAATAATGATTTCAAGGGCTTTGAGTACGATGTCAGTGTCCAGGAGGCCACTTGTCATATAATTTCAAATATCATTGGACGGACTAAGGATCATATTCAGGTATGCAAATTACTATGGAATTGTTTTTGCCTTTGTATCAATTATTTATAATTAATGCTTTGAGATAAATAAGTTATTAATTGATTTTTCACTTGCCGTGCTTCAATTTTTTTTTCTCATATTAGTACTCTGTTTTGATGAATTTGACATTTGTTTTGTTTTTGTTCGTAATTTGAAGTCTTCCATTAAATCCGTTTATCTTATAAAATTAAGGATGCCGAAGAGGTATCATCTTAGTACTATTGGAATTTAAGGGTATATAAAAAGATTAAAATGTGGGAGTTGGAAAAAGTTTTCAATAAGTGCATCGATTGGGTGCGACTTTTCAAGCGAAAAAGTCTCCTAATTCCATTTTCTTCAATTCAAATCAATTCCAAATAATTGATTTCTAATTCTTTCCTTATCCAAATTATGTAACAATAATTTTCTAATTAATTTTTGTGTTACGTGTTCAATATTTAGTATTCTATATCTTCCGTTCTAGAAGAGTATAGTCAAGTGTGTGTGAGTCCGATAAATTAATATTATACTATATTAATTTTAAAAGAAGCATTGTATCTTATGAGACAAACATTCATTTGATCCTATTAGCACCGGTGTAGGGGGTGAAATATGTCTTAACAAGATTTGTATTCGCATGTCTTGCTGTATTTCATTTCCTTCTAATTTTTGTATTTTCCTAAATGTCAAGTTTTACTTATTTTTCATGTACGTATTTTGATTTCGGTAAGTCAAAATATTATTCGATAATTTGGATGTCAATAGCAACTTAAATCATGCACGTGAATATAATTATGCACCAATTTATCGAACAATTTTAAGATAGATTTTCATGCTAATTTATATAGTGATGGTCAAAATCAGTTCACGTGGATGAAAAGTTTTAGTTTGTGTTTGCCTTTTGACTTTGTTATTCTTGCATTATTCTTTCATATTACTCAATTACTTTATTATGCATTATTCACACACAATACTAGTTTACTTAAATGTTGTATTGCATGACGAGAACATATTCTTAATTCTGGAATTGATAATTGTAGATATGTTCTGTATATTGAAAAGTATATGAAAGAACTTTCTCTTTAATTTTTCTTCGATTTCTTGGTAAACTAAAAGGATAATGAAGCATCTGGATTGTAATTTTCTACTCGTTCTAGTTAAAGAGATGCATGCATTAGTAGTGAAATTTATTTACGCTTCTCTAATTACAGAATTTGAGAAGTGGCAAGGGCTTGTTGGGGGAGTAAAGCATTGCCTGTTATATGTATT